TGAAAACATTAAATTATTACAATCACAAGCTCAATTAGAAAAAGACATGAACCAAAAATTTGTCGGGTTACCTTTGAGCGAGACAGTTCACAAGTGCAGTATCTCGAATCAACCTAATAGAGCAAATAAGCCTAAATCAGACTTTAAAATTCCCGATAAACGGTTTGTGGTTAATCAAAAATTTTCTTAGGATTATTGTTTTTGTCAATTTTTGTAAAATTTCTGACCACTTTATTAGGTTCTAGTGGATTAAGTTAAAAGCTTTGGTCAAAATGAGGGATTGGGAAGAACTGGATCGATTTTCAAAGTCAAAGAAATCACCTATCGGATATGAGGTAAACCTTGAATATTGTTTTCAATGTTTTAGTATTTATAAAATTAATTTGTTAAAATTTTTATTCCTATAGCCATTTGTTGAAGAGTATATTAAGGCCACACAACAAAGTGAGGCTGCTAAATACATTCAAAAATGTGATCCTGCAATTCGACTCGGCCTATATATATCTGCAGGTCAAGAAGCACTTGCGTTAAAAGATGTTCGGTTATTGCGGTACGAGTTATACATTCATACATATTTTTACAGCAGAATTATCTTTAATATAATATTTTATTATTAAATCAGAGAAATAAGAAGCAAATGTGCTGATCAAATAATTGCGCTAGAATTGGATGCCTATATCGCTCAAGCAACCGCAAGATAGAATCTGGATTTCCTTTTTAGTGTAATTTTTGTAATATATATAAATATTAACAATTTCGAGACTAAATGTACATTAATAAATTCCTTGTAGTGATTGAATTAATATTTTGAATTTCATGGTTTATTATTAAATACTAAATTGAAATAATCAATGATATATTAAGAAAAATTTTAATAAAATATCCATGTTCTTAAGTCTTTCTTTCAAAATATTTGATCTCAGGATTCTAACTTTATCTAATTTATTAGCAAGATTTGAAATGAAGAATCAACATTGTAATACATAAAAATGGGATACTTGGCGGTGTGATATATGATGTAGAATGGCTTATTGCGAAATCTACAGCTACAACGATTGAACCCCATTTTACCCAAAAGCCCGCAGAATTTGTAGAATCAATTTCGGCGTTTTTAAGGTCGTGATAATATGAAAAAAATAATAAGCCGAATTCTAATGATTGGCTTAATAAAAAACTTCTATAAAGATCAAATCCGTATTTTGCCTTAGAATTGTCGAAGGTGAATAGCAAAGATCTAGCATTTATAGGAATTCATTATTTAAACAAGCACAAATCTATCTGAAAGTTAAAGCCCTTACCTTTGTCATGAGAAAGCACCAATAAACAAAATAAAAAAGTTGCCTTAGTACCTCTTTTAAAACCAGAGAAAAAGTGGTACCACAAGCCAGCAACCAAACTCTAAATTATCGCACCAAGTAGTGAATGCGAATATGGTGCATCAGGGGCCTGCAAATTGCCTATTTTTGAGGCCCGGCCCGCAAAATTTCTTATAATTTTGCAAAATTTTAGGCCCGGGCCGGGCCGGGCCGGGCTGCGGGACCCAATGCAGGCCTCTATGGTGCATAGACTACTTCCTCTTTAATCGTAAACGAAGGTCTAATTTTTGCTAAAGAAATGCCGTTAAGAAAATAGTTATCGAAATACTTTAATAATTAAAGTATTAATTTTTACACTTACCTTCTTCAATATGAAAAAGAACAAAGAGAGTATATAACACATCGATAAACTATGTCGATATTGATATTATTTAGATAAATAATTATCACCATAGGATTTTGTTATATTATTGGATTAACCTGGACAGCATTCATTAATGCCAAAATTGGGATTGTTGGCTCGATAATTTTAACGAACCAGGCACCACAATAGTGACCATAAAACATCTTTGAGAAAGCATTCAAGATGATTTTGTCGTGCTTAAGTTGACATCTACTTGAAGTTACCAATTTAGGCACACTAACTAAAATTAACCCTGAAATTTGATCTTCCTTGCCCGCATTAGTTAGTAATTTTAGGCAGTTTCAACTTCAAGCGAAAATCATATTAGAAACGTAATTTGGAAATCTTTTGTCCGTTCGCACGCGTGTATTACGCGCATTTACGCGTTTGCGTAATATGAATACTTATGATTCATACTAAGTAATGTAACAAAGTCTCATTGACATATTTTACCTTTTTACTATATATAACTTTTTTTTTTTGATAGTTTTAGCAAACGGAAATGCGTAAGCGTTTTTTTATTTACATTTGTTTTACGTTTTACATGTTTTGTTCCTTTACATTTAGTTTCTTTACAGTTAGGTTCCTTTACGTTAGGTTTGTTACTAATAATAGCTATGTAAGAAACGTTTAAAAAGTTTTTATAAAGGCTTTACTGATTCTAGAGCAGGGGTCAGTTAGGGTTTCCTTCGTAAAAATCATAGAAATTTATTCATAGGGGTAATTATTTCTCACCTGTGTTATGCTGCTTATTCATTTCGCTATTTTTATGATGCATATTTCTGAATATGTCTTTCTCTTATGCTTACTTTTTTGTTCTAGGATGGAAAAGACCAAGAATTTGCTGAGAGGATCGTGAGATATGAGCAGGAATTCTTCAAAATTTAAAAATTTTAAAAAACATTGAAGAATCGTAAAACTTTTTTTGCTCATATCTTGATTCACTTGGTGAATTTTGATAAAATAGTCACCATTGAGATTGAAATTGTTTTTTTTATAACCTTAGTTAAAAGTTTATCATAACCAAAAACTTAACTCTAATTGAAAAACTTTTGGAATTTTTTTATCTCTGAAGTTTCGCAATTTGACGTGTTCATGTCATGAGACACAAGCAAGGGTGATTTTTACCCGGGTGAAAATTTTTAACAGGTTATTAATAACTATTAGGTATAAAAAATTTTTGGATATTTTTTTACATTCCATGTTCTCTAATGTTCACTTATGATATTTTTATGTTGTGAAAATATCATACTGCTTGAATGTATGTCAGGTTTATGGTACAGATTTCCAATTAACAATTAATCCTAGCTGTCGTAACAAAATTGTCCTTGCAGATTCTCGATTTTGGTCAGAATTACTTAAAATTTTACTAATGAGTTCACAGCCGTCTATTAAGTAAAAATTGTTCTTGAATTAATTTTAATATTGTGCGAACCTATTTTTTTTGAAAATTTCTATTTTTTGGATAAAAAGTTAAAAAATTAATTTCAGCCAAAAATTAGTAAACAATTATGTAATACAACTAAAATTTTGCAGATCCAGCCAATCAAAGTTATTGCTAAAATTAGATTTATAAAAAACTTAATTTCATTTAATCAGAAATATTATTGATATAGAACCAATAAAAAACTTGAAAGAAAAATTAGTAAATTTGTTTTTATTTGTTTTTTTTAAATATTAATGGTGAGATTATTCTTTTAACTTTATTAAAATTCAAGTAAAGTTTTTATAAAGAAAAACTTGTTTTTAAATTATATATAAAGAATAAAGACTTATATATATAATCTGTAATCTAAATCTATAAGGCTTACCTAGATTTGGATATAAGTAAAAATATAAAAGAAAGGAATATGGTATTTAATCTATCAGATAGTTCAACTTGTTGTATTACTTTAGTTAGAAATAGACTACTTATCTAACTACTTAAAGTCATATCAAAAAGGTTTTTTTTCTTCTGTAACAAGCATATTAATTGTTTTTTAAATTTCTTTTTTTATTTATTTTATTTTTCTATTTTTTCTTCTTTTTTTTTTCTTTTACTATTTTTTTTTCTTTTGATATCTTGGTTTTTTCTTTTACTAAATTTTCTTCTAATCAAGCATTTTTCTTTATTTTATTTGTTTTTTTTTTTTTTTTTTTTTTTTGTTATTAATGTTGTGGCCATGCCCTTTTCTTTTTTTAATTTTTTTTTGTGTTTTTTCATGTAAAACAATT